AGCAGTCGTTGGAAATTGGAGTTGGAAAAAATGCCGAGACCTCTACGACAACGTTTATAGACAAGTGTGAGAAATTCCCGGTGTTCAACGACCGTGTTGTCTTTTACAAAATGCGGTTGCTTCTTCAACGCTCGACTGTTAGCTAGGCTAGCTTTCGTAAGCAACTCTAAGTTTCAGGGCAGGGTGTGAATGGAATTTTGGCAAAACGGACAAATACTTCTGATACTTTAATTTCTGAAATCCGAAGCGTGCATGTAGCGGCTCCAGTAACAACGAGCAGCGAGCGTCCCGACAATATGTGTTGTCGATGAGCGAGCGTCGATGTAAACAAACGCGCGGGCCGACCTTATGTAGTATTTGAGTAATAATAAAAGGTTCTGTCCGTGTTACTAATAAGTGTTTTTCGACTCGCTTACTTCTTTTGCTTCCACTCACTTTTTCCTAGATTAGATGACTTATTGGTTGACTGACGCCTGTCTTCACATGCTCTCCGAACTGCATTTTGAGCATAGATAATTACTTTCGCCCTTTCAACAAAGTCGCGCGAATAAAAATATAATTAAACGGTGATACCCCGTTACACTATGGGTGTAAAGTAGGAAAAAGATTGGTAGGCTACTGTTTCCACGTAATGGTGGTGTTATGGTACTTTGAGTATGCCAGGTATTTAGAAAAATACCAACAGGACCAGATCAATCTCCTATATTTGAGTCTTTAAGTGATGATGAATTTATAAGCGACAGTGATAACGAATTGGAAGAAACAGAATAAAAAAGTTTTATATAATGACATTTTATAAATATTTTTCATTAAGGATTACAGTAAATTAGACATCGTATAAAAAAATAATAATTAACAAATGTACCCCTAGAAATAATTTTATATCGGTAATATTATTAAACTTCACATAGATTTTTAAGTTTATGTAGATTAGAGAGATAGCCCGCACATGATATAAAAATGATTTTATAAAGAATAAGCGATTAATTCTCTGTTCTCATGGTTATGAGAATTAGCCTACTTGTGGTTTAGTCGTTAATAGGGGTCAGGTAGATTAGAGGGAGGAAACACGTGCATTAGATTGTAGTTTACATACTAATATTTCAATAAAAAAGCGACTGAACTCATTGTTCCCAGGGTTAGGTGGGTAAGTCTGTTGGTGGTTTGGTAGGGGTGGTTTCTAGGGGTTGGGTAAGTTAGAGAGTAGGTAGTTAGGTGGTTTAGTTCGCTTGTGATGTGGAATTTGATTGTTTTAAGAAAACACAACCGACTAAACTCGTTGTTCCCTGGGTTAGTTGTTCGCCGCTTGTTCTTTTGTATAAGTGAAAATATAGGTATTTTTGGCCTATTTTTTTGAGGTTATGAAAAATCCTGACGTGATGGGATTAAAAGGACTCCGGATTCGAACCATTGACCCCAAAACATATAATAAATATGGTCAGATCCTCGTTTAAATGACTTTTTTTTGTGTGGTTGTGTTATTATTTCGCAAAATAGGGGTAGCTACCCATATGCAAGGGATGTCTGTACAGTTTCCCCGCACATTTGAAACTGTAAAAGTGTATAATTAGGTACCCTTGACACATCCCATCACTGTTTTGGTGTGTAATTTCGTTTCCAAGAAGAAGCAAAAAAACGGTTATTTTTATCATTGTTCTTTTCGAAATGATAAAATAAAATTAACATGTTTCGATGTTTCTTTATTTTTATGTCTTTCGAGGGTGAACTATCCCTAAACCCTATTAATACTATATAAATAGTTGCCGATCACAAATTTTGCTGATTTTTCATATGCTATGAAGTTTAAAAGTGGGCTAGACAATGATACTATTAGTCTGTAGGAAAATAAATCTAAGGGCTGAAGGCCACCCTAAAAAACTACCTCTAAAACACTATTACAGCAATATCATTGGTTTATATCAATATTTTTCGACAATAAAAACTTTGAAAAATTCTTTATAAAAAAGTGGATATAACTATATAGGTATTGTCTCTGGGGGTTGCAACTCCTACGATGTAAAGGGAAAGAACAACCTTTATGATTAGATTTTTCGTGTAAAAATCACGAAATTACCATAAAAATTAAAAAATAAATTTTCATCTAGAAAATTATAAAATAATATTGACCAGCTTCGGAGTTTTTTCATTATTTAATATTTCGAGAGTGAACCATTCCTAAACCCATATTAACATATAAATAGTTGTCAATCACTAATTTCGCTGATTTTTTATTTGCTATGACGCTTAAAAATTGATGAGAGAATTATAGGGCTGTTGGGCTATAAAAGAAATTTGGGGTCTAGAATCCACCCTCATAAGCAACCACCAAAACCGTGTTACAGCAATATCTTCGGTATTTATGACTATTTTTCGACTAAAAAAATTTGAAAAAATCTATATTAAAGAGAAACGTAACCATATAGGTTTTGTCACCGGGGGTTACTAGCCTTACGTTGTACAAGGATGAAACTGTATTTAGAGTATATATTTCTACCGTCTGAATTCGAAAGCGGATCATCAATACTTCTCATAAAGATACAGAAGTTGATATGGGTGGAGTTGAGTTTATATTTCAAAAAGTAATTTTTCTATAAATGTTTATTTCTAGGTATTACTGAGGGTTCGGATTTTTTTAATGAAATTTTACTATAAACTTATTATCAAATACATGATATAAAGAAATATGTGTCACTGGTTTTAAGAAGAAGCTCGCCATCCGTCCAAACGCTAGGCCCCCCACACTACAGATTAAGGCATCATCTTTTTCTCAGGGCCTTTGAAAGTTATCGATATTCATCTTTTTTTAATTACTAATAAACTATCATATTATATATTATATACCATTTCATATTCAAAAGACTATGAAAGTCTTATATTTAAGTATTAAATGATGTTCATCACTTAAGGGAATGAAGTTGTGAAACGATTTTTTATTCGATATTGATTCAGTATTTTTGAACCATTTAATCTTTAGTGGACTGGGATTTGGAAGTTATAAATTGCATTTAGAAAAATTATAAAGAATTATAAATATGTTCTAAGGTTCGTGAATTAGAGCCAAACTAAGTTGGGATATTGCGTAAGGACGCTTCTGCATATCCCGATTCAGTACGGTAAGACCAAATATTAAAATTTTCAAAATTTCAAAATGACAATTGCACTATATATTTTTTTATTTTTATTTTTATTTTTAGCTTCATTTAGGTTTTATTTGATTGAATAAAATAATTTATTCTATTGTCTATTAGCCATTATTTATATATTTGTCGCATTAACTAAGATTTATCATAAATAATATACATATATTAGTTACCATTTATGAAATATAAATGAATAATTTGATTTTATTTACGCCTTTGCCGGACCTCTAAACATTAATTCTATTTTCGTTGCTTGGTGGTTTTTATTACTACAATATGTAAAATTAGTTTTATATATCGCTGCTAGAGCTTATTTATATAACTCGAACTCATTATATATTTTACTTAATATATTTTTCCTTTCGTGATAGCATTCCGGGTAACCTTTCACCATAAGAATAACCCTTATTATTTCTAATTGTGTGTGTCTGTGTGTCATTTTCATATACGAGGTGTGATCAAAAAGTAAGGTGAATTTTGAAATTTAGCGGGCTACGTCCGTTCGATCTTCGACTTTTTTATTTGGTTATGTCGGTACACTCGTCTAGAACATACGTTCCAAATTTTAGCTTTGTAGTATGTTTGGTTTGTTTGTGAGAGGCATCAAGGTTAGAAGTGTTTTGCGTGCTCCACGATTTGTTGCTGTCTAAAAACATGGATCAAAGAGTTTGCATTACATTTTGTGTGAAAAATGGAAACAAATGTTCCGAAACACTTGAAATGCTGAAAGTGGCATACGGTGAGTCTACTTGAAGCCAAAAAAATGTTTACAAGTGGTATAAACTCTTCCAAGAAGGCCGAGAAGACACTGACGACGAACCTCGTTCTGGACGCCCCAGCACATCAACAACTGATGAGAATGTTGAAGAAATGAAGAAAATAGTGTTGGGAAATCGTCGAATTACCATTAGAGAATGCTGATGATATTGGCATCTCGTTTGGTTCGTGCCAATCAATTTTGACGAGTGTTTTAGACATGAGACGTGTGTCAGCGAAGTTTGTTCCGAAATTGCTCAATTTCGACGAAAAGAAACGTCGAATGAGCATCGCCCAAGAGCTACTGAATGACGTCAACGATGATCCAGATTTACTCAACAGGGTTATAACAGGTGACGAAACATGGGTATACGGTTATGACGTCGAGACTAAGACTCAATCGTCCCAGTGGAGGCATTCTGGATCACCAAGACCAAAAAAAGCACGCCAAGTTCGATCAAATGTAAAGGTTTTGCTTACAGTTTTCTTTGACTGCAGGGGCGTGGTGCATCATGAGTTCTTGCCACAGGGTAGAACAGTAAATAAGGAATATTAGCTGCAAGTTATGCGCAATTTGCGCGAAGCAATCCGCCAGAAACGTCCGAATTTGTGGAAAAATAAAAATTGGCTTTTGCACCATGATAACGCCCCTGCTCACACATCGTTGCATGTGCGCGAATTTTTGGCTAAAACCAACACAGTAACGATGCCACAGGCACCGTATTCCCCAAATCTGGCCCCCTGTGATTTCTTGTTCCCAAAACTGAAGAGGCCCATGAAAGGACGGCGTTTTGCCACGATTGAGGAGATAAAGACGGCATCGAAGGATGAACTAAACAAGATCACAAAAAATGATTTTTTGAAATACTTTGAGGATTGGAAAAAGCGTTGGCACAAGTGCATTATATCCGAGGGGGATTACTTTGAAGGAGATAAAATAAAAATTGATGAATAAGTAAATATTTTTTGAGAAAAATAAAAATTCACCTTACTTTTTGTTCACACCTCGTATATCTTAGTGGAAAACCGAGTTTTCGTATGTTTATTTGAGTTAACACTATTTGATATTTAATTTAAAAAAAACTATTACTTGATAGATTTTACCTTTCTTAGCTTTTTCTCTCCAAATTTTGCTTTAGGACAGAATAACGACACACTTGCCTCCCTTTCACCACTTTCTTGACAACACATACAACTTCTCTCCATTTGCCAAATTTTTGATCCAGATACCTATAATTTATATTTGAAAAGTAAATATTTATTTTTGTATTTTTTAACTAAACTAGAATAAAGTAAAATTAAGTTACAAAGTAATCTATTGATCATAAATACATTAAAAATGGTAACCCAGCAGACAAAAAATTACTCAGAGGGCTGATCCGATTTTACTTATACTAACTTGAGTAAAAACGCTAATTAACAACATTTTTAAAAACGTTATTTATTAATTACTTGTTAAACTCATAAATATATATTTATAGTTTATATGTTGTGACGGGGGAATTCGGGGGGATAAAGCCACCAGCCGAAATTATGCCACTGAATAATCATTGGCAACTCGTCTTTCCGACTTGTTAATCGGCCGCCAGACTACTGTTCGTAGGGCTACAGCAGTCGTTGGAAATTGGAGTTGGAAAAAATGCCGAGACCTCTACGACAACGTTTATAGACAAGTGTTGGAAATTCCCGGTGTTCAACGACCGTGTTGTCTTTTACAAAATGCGGTTGCTTCTTCAACGCTCGACTGTTAGCTAGGCTAGCTTGCGTAAGCAACTCTAAGTTTCAGGGCAGGGTGTGAGTGGAATTTTGGCAAAACGGACAAATACTTCTGATACTTTAATTCACGCAGATAGTCGGATTCATCTGATGTCTCGGATCCACCTAAGAAGTCGCCGAGACCGTTAAGCGCAAGCACTCAAATCTCTAATTATATCTGATTTTCCGAACGCGGCTGAAAATTAAATAACAGCATGCACAGGAAAGGTAGGCGACCTAGGTTAGAGATAAAAGTCAGTTAATCTTATACTCTTTATGGCCTACTAAGGTACACTGTTTCTTTTCGCGGAAATGGCGGAAGGTCAGCGCGGTGAACTCGGGTTATATATCACTCGGCGACGGAACTACGCTCTCCGATTTTATATACACGCGATTCTCTAACACGACGTACCCCAATCCTCGCCAAAGTTACAGTGCCACTTTACCTTACTTTGAGTTGCATTCTCTCAACACAAGTCTTTGTTCGGCTAGTCAATCAGTAGCTCGTCCTCTACAAAACTTAATCCGCAATCGGCTACGAACAAAGGATGAACAACGGCTCTCTACGGCCAAAGATCTCTCGCTTCTCCTATTTCCACGAAGAAATCATTTTATTAGTCGATATGTCAATTCGGATTACGGTAGCGTGCTCTGAATATTCCAGTCATTGGTCAGTATGCAAATTAGAAAGTTAGTAGCGCCCTCATCTTATCTCCCACGGTATCGCTGTTTACCCTCTTTTACCCTCCACTACGTTGGTCAACATTGATCGATGAGATCTACCCCTACTCTTATCTAATTTTCGGTGCGGACGGAAATCAATTTTATTCTAATTCGTCTATTGGTCGTGACGTCACCAACGAGTTCGAAGTTATCTATATTAGAATAGGATGAGATGAACCGATAGCATCGCTGGAAAGATGAAGGGTGATAAAACCAACTATTCGAAAATTATGAATCTTTGCACCTACTGCTTGCGGCTAGGTGGAATATGAGAAGAGAGGAAAAACCGATAGTCTACCTTTACCTTATGTTTAGATCAGATGTTTCTTCCGACTGATTTCTGTACTGCTTCGCAAACGAATTCTTCGTAATTGTAGCGAAAGTTCATTCGTTATCAATTTTTAAGGTGAGCAAGTGAGGCGCACTCGTTCATAGCAATCGAGGCGAGAAGGGGGGAAAAGGTAAAGAAATGAAAGTAATTAAGAAATTATACACACAACAAAAATTTCGCATTTAAATCAAAATTTAATCAAACCAGAATGAAATCGAAATTACATTCAAACTTATAAACCGTACATAGACAAACCGCAAAAGAACAAACCGCATAATTCTACTTATAACCAGCTTTTATAAACTCTTAACCTAATGAACACAACGGTGTTGCAAACACGTTTTAACACTAACGAACACAACGGTGTTCTTAACACCTAATACAATACCAATACAATAAACAAATTAACTATCTTATTGCGCTTACAAATCTAAGCGATATACAGCATGTTTCGTGCGGAAGATGACCGCCATCACGACGAACCGACTTAGCCTACTAAAACTAAAAGAGAAATCCGCCCGGGGAGAGATCGTCTTGACGGTTCTCTACCTGAACAATTTATGACGCCGACCGTAATTAGGACAGGTAGCCGGCGCGTATACGCCTTGCTAGCTACCTGACCCTTACAATTACACGCTGTGCCAAACTGCTGAAGAGAGAGAGAGAAAGAAATTAGATTACGAGCCTTAACCTTATCGATGCAGGAAAGTGAGGCCTGGCTGCGCCCTGCAGAGGATATTGCTTGTTGTCGCTGGGCAAATTCTGCCGGCTTCTCCGGGTAGCGTCCCGAGCAGATGCTGGAATAAGGCACTCGTCCTCTTTTTCTCTCGGTTCCTCTCGGTTCCTTGGCGGCGTGTGCGTTCGGCTGACCTTTGTTCTCAACTGCACTCTGCACCTCTGATCGAATAAACAGTCTTAAATGCTGATCAACTGGAAATATTCTTGACTGCTGATCGACTCACTACCGTCTATGTCGCTCGTTTTCTTCCGCGATAGACAGCTTCTTCCTTATTCTTTCTCTCCCCACTTTACCTACTTATTAGACAGCGCGCGACCAATGTGCTAATTGGTTCGTGACGCGCGCCTGTCTAATCCTGCATGGGGCACGGACGCCCCTAACTCTCTCTCTCTTTCTAACACCTCTATTCTCTATAATCCACTTGACGACTTCGGGCCGGCTCGGCCTTGCTCGGTAGGATGAAATAATGACTATGCCTAACGCTGGTCACCGTGTCTTGGCAAAAGAGAGGGGAAATTGGGGAAAAAAACGACGAGAACAAGCGCATCGCTTGCTCTCGACACATAATTATTAGATACTTTAATACGGTGTAAATGTACCATAACTTGCTCGTGCACACCGTGATTTTATTTAAATAATTTTATAATCGATCAATAATCATTGCTTTACGACCTATATTTATTTGCCAAAATTGTGAAGTATATTCTGCAATTTGTAAATTAATGTGTGTTACGTCCCAAGCAAGCCAGACATCAGACACTGATATGTTGTCGAAGCAGCAGTTTGCGAGTGACCTTTAGTCTTTCTCGCTCAAACAGCTAACTGCGCAGTTCCTCGCTTTCAGCAGCTTCGGTACGAATCCAGACGGAATGTGCATGTAAGCCGATGTCGTTTCCCGCGGAGAATGGAAGTCGCGTATAGCTTTCCGTCTAATATGCGCTTTTGACGAAAGCACGTCGCGAAGGTGGGAGAGACAGTTCTCTTTTTTCACGCTTTCGCGAGAATTGCTAAATAGAATATGCAACACTTGCGAAGCTGATTAAGCAATTAGCCCATTGGCCGGTGACATTGGTTAATACGCCAATGGGCGGGTCATCGCGGGGCTTTTTTCCTCGATTGCAGGAGGACTCGCGACACTTCGCAACCGGCAGTGAAACAGTAACAAGATGCGCGGAACGTCTAAGTAAAACGGGTGTCGATATCTCTTAAATTAGTGAAGTCCATTTGAAAGCGAAACAATTCTCTTCTTGTGAACGTCGAAGTAAAAGTGTAAATCCAATAAAAGTGTCCATATCTCTAAAAAAATCAGTAAGTTCAACTTAAACTAAAACTTCCGATAATCCCTCCAGTTTTTTGAAGTGTGACTGGCTGTGAGTGGTGCTTTAGGCACATTCTATTTCTTGGCAAACGACGGACTGCAGATCGACGAATCGCAAAGGAAACAACAATCTAAAGGTAGAGAAGGGTACCCGCTACGACAGGTTCTCCTTTTATGTCTTTTTCTTTCGATAATTTTGCTAAGCTTCGCTTACTCTAGACTGATTTTTCAAGTAAATTTAATTAAATAATTGTAAATTCCGGACGTAACATTTGGTGACAGCGGTGGGATACCTTTCTTACAAAGGTATTCGATGTTCATAATTACAGTCGTACAGAATTAAACGATTAATTAATTAATAAAAAATAATTTAACGGAACAAATCGAAATTAATGCTCATCAGAGCGTGACATTTTACAAGCTTGAAGAAATTTTACCTCTTACTAGGAAGAAATTAAAAATCTGTCTCTTGCGTCGTCGGTTTTATTTTATCTCTCATTTTATTTTAACGCTTTATCTTTATCTTTCAGCTCGTGATTTTACGAAATTTTTTTTCACTGATTAAAAAAAAACCAAACAAAAAATCTAATTTTGCAAAAGTGTAACTTTTATCTTCACAGAAATAGTTTAGGAAAAATAGCAATGTCAGAAAACGGTAGCGGAAGATCGTCACCCTTAGAACAATATAACGAAGAAACAAACAAAAACTTACTTGAAAGAATTAAAGGTAGCGATATTAATAAAAAATAACTGGAGGAACTACAATTTCGACTATTTAAAAAACAAGAAAAACTTGAAGAACGAGAAGCGGCTATTCTAGCCGAAGAACAACGGATCAAGATAGAGGCTAAGAAAATTGCAGAACAAGTATCCACTACCCTTGCAAAAGATATTAAAAAAACCGTTGCTTTAGACATAGAAATTAAATGATTAAAAACTCTCCAAAAAAAGCAAATTCAAAACCGAGAGACACTCTCTCTCCAGGTTCCCTCTAGTATTCCATTAGCTAAACAAATAAGAACACAAATTTCGGATCCTTTCGCTGATATTACAGCAACATTAGTAAATTATTCAAGACAGGATGAAACACCCAGCCAGACTATTGCTGAACAAAATTTAACAGTACCCGTCTTAGTTACAATTAAAGAAGCCCTTATAAAAGTCCCTTCTTTCGATGGCACGAACTTGCCTCAATTCCTACGCACATGTCGCCGTGCTCGGAGACTGGTGCCGTCGGAAGCTCAAACAGAATTAATAAAGCTCCTGACGAACAAGTTAGATGACAGGACCTATGTGGCTATCGAGGGCCTTCGATTCACTAACTGCGGAGATTTTTCGACACAGTTAAGACAAGTCTTTTCAAC